TAAGGAAAATGTGCATTGCAAATTAATAATCAAAATACTTTTATCCTTTTTTTTCTTATTCTATTTATCTATTTCTTTCTCTATTGAATTGTTCCTAACACAACCATAAAAAGGAAAAGTCTAGGTCTGTTTAAAAGTTGAATTAGAAGTAGTTGAATTGGAGCAAAATACAGATTGAGTTGTGAATTGGTTTGTAATTAGAGTAAATTAGACAAATAGTCTATTAATTATAGGATTTCTTTGTTGAGTCTATTGACTATGAAAAATTATAAAATTATAAAATTTTGATCTAACTTAGAAGTTCAACGAAATATCATGACAATTAATAAAATCAATATAATAATAAATTTAACCCTTCACATTTACATTTTATTTTAATTTTATCCTAACCTAACTACTATCGCTCTTTTTTTTTCTTTTACTAAAACTCTAATTTCCTAAAAAACTTTTATCATTTTACAATGACAATCTACTTTCGATTTTGATGTATCTTCTCTGTAAGACATACCTTCAATGTTATTCCTTTACTTATCAGACCTCGAAGTCTTCAGAGTTCCTCGAAGCCTGGGGATTTACATATCCTTTTTATAGCTACAATCTCTTAACATGATCACTGACTTTTTCATATGATATACTAGCTAAATCTATCATATGTCAGCTAGATCTATTTATCATGTCAACCTATAAATAGTCATCATCATACTAGGCCTAACACATTTACTAAGAGATTGTGTATAAATCACCATGCAAGGCTGGAGAGATAAGGACACTCTCTCACTCTCTCTCGACTATTCATGTTCTTCAGCTTGTACAATTTTTCTTTCCCATCCATTGAACGATCGTCTAAGAATTGTGAAAAACCATCACAATCCTATTTCTACCATCAACAATTGGTGCACTTAGCGTAGAGCACCTCTCAACCAAAAAAACCAATCAAGATGAATCTCATAAAGTAAAATAATCAATATTACCTCCCATTTTCTTCCTAAAGTCCCTTCGATACACCCGATTTTTTTAGCCAATAACAATAAACTATGTATGCCCTGACATACTTCTAGGTTTATCATGGTACCTATGACCAAATCAAAAAAATTACCCATAGAATCAATATCAATAACTTATATACTTTAATAAACAAAACATACTGCAAGTTCATAACTTGTATAATGGGTTACAAAGTCTACATGTACAGTTCTAAGTCTTCTAGTCAGGTCAACTACAATTACAGTGGTATAATCATCAATAGTAAGAGTTAATCCAGAAAACTCTTTAAGACCTGTTGATCTCCCAAAACCAAGGAAATATTCGATGAGAGGAGAAAAAAGAAAGAGACTACAATACCGAAAAGAGTTATCAACAAGATCATGTTGTTACTCATTTGGATACTTTGGATGATAGAGTTCCCCTTAGAGCATGACCAAAGAAGGGGCAACGTTTAATATGTACATCAACAAGTTGGTCCAAGAGAGCAAGAATGGAGGAAGAAAATAAAAATCATGTAAAGGCAAATTGATGATCTTCTTGATTGAAATAACTCTAGATGAGATAGGGCTACAAAGGAATAGAGTTTTCTCATGCCCTACGTGAAAGGAGTGGAGTCCTCTCATGTCTCATATGATAGCAACTTCCTACATTTTATACTTCAAGCTTATCAAAGAGACCTATGATGGAACTAGACACTCCACTAAGAACTTTTTCTAGTACAAGAATTATATAGTATTATGGGGCCTCTAACGAGTTGAAATGTAAAGTCTTTTCGACCACTTTATGTAAAGTAGCCAAGAATTGGTATGACTCCCTACTCATGAAAATTGCTAGAAACTTCAAATAGTTGTTGCATATGTTTGTCTAAAAACTTTTAGCTAATAGAGTCATCCTCTGATGAAAGACCAACCGACTTAGTGTGGCCTAAAGACCCGGTGAGCTTTTAAAATGCCACACACGGAGATTCTCTAGAGCTATACACAACATATGTAACCTTTAAAATGATTGGGTAGTCTTCGTGTACATCTCTGGACTTTGACATAAGCCTCTAAAATATGCCTTGATAAATACTAGACAAACTAAGATGAGTCAGCTATATGAATTAGCTAACAAGTATATCAAAGCAGATAAATGGGATTTATAGCTAATATTGGCTTGATTTCAACTCCTCCACAATCTACCTCGTAGAGCCAATCGACCAGGTAACATTAAAGACCTCTTCCAAGATTATATGATTCCTTGAGAGTTAATCAAGGTGTTAAAAGCTCATCTTCTTTGGGTAATAAAAAATATGATAAAAATAGGTTAGAGCGTAGCGGAAAAGTTAACTAACAAGTCGCGGAGGGGACAATTCAAAGTTTACACAAACTACACACTCATTGCCACATCATTGTCTAAGATCCTCTACCAAATTAAGGACTCGGGTATGTTAAAATCCCCCTATTTAACTTTCTAATACATACAATGATTCGTATTTTGGTAATCATCGTCTAACCTATGATGAAAAGAAAAGCTCCCATGATGGCCCTCTAGACTACTTCTCAAACAGGCACTAGGAAAAACTTCCTTTTTTTCATATTATGTATTGTTGAAGCACTTCTAATGAATACAGTTCTACTTCCTCCACTTAAACATTATACTTCTCTAAGAGTATTTTCCGATTGTCTCTCCAAGAATGTTAACATCTCATGCTATGTGCATATAGCATTGAGATGCATTAGTCCATTATACAGTGTTTCTTCAAAGAGTATTGAGATGTCTTTATTCATTCTACAATGTCTCTCCAAGAACATCGAAATGTCTCTTCTCTGACCAAGAGGATCAAATTACATCCGCTCCACTCTAATTAGAATAACTTCTCCACTGTCTCTCCGTCGTCTGGATAAGAGAGTCGAGATACCTCAATTATGTATATATATATTGTCAAGATGCATATGCCCACTTTTTGCAATGTTTCTCTAGAGAGCGTCGAGATGACTCTGCTTATTCTCTAATGTCTCTCCAAGGGGTAGAGTTATCTTCACCCCAGTTTACAAAATTAACTAAATGCGTAATGTCTATACGAATGGTGGTTTCAATATTGGTAACATTAAATTACATTTTTGGTAAGATAGTGTGATGAATGTGAAAAGACCTAAATGCCTTACGTATGATTAACTGTTTCTCTTGGAATTATGTATATATCCTAAGTTTGTTCTTGGGTGTGCTTGAGTGAAATTTTTGTTGAGCCATACTTAAGAAATACCTAAAATGTGAATTCGCACTTGAGTCACTCTGATTAATAATGTGGCATATGATATATCAAGTGGGCCTTATTGGTCGTATATTAGGTGACTATTTTGTTAGACATTAAGGTTGAATTTTAACATTATACCTAAAACAAACTAGATAAACATAATATTGCTTTATCTTGTCATTAATTTAAATGAAATGATGTTCTATCTCTTTAGTGTTATTGTCATTAACATATGATTTGATACTCAAAAATAATACTTTAATATTCAGTTATTTTTAGATACTTCTAAGCTATTAACACTAACAACCTTCATTATATACTCCATAATTTTCTTTAATTATTATTTGATAATCATAATAGTAATTAAGTGATAATTGATCTAAGGTAATAATTATAAGTTACTTTTTATTTTATTTGTAACATAATATTTTTAATTATTAATTGTAGTGTGTTATAAGAATTTCATTTCATTGTATATATGTATAATTATTATTAAAGTCTTAAATAAATTCTTACATAAATTTTTTTTCATCTATTTAAAGAACTATTTTTAGAAATTGGTTTAAATTAAATTAATTATTTAAATTTAGTCACATCTGAATCTCTATATGCTTAATTGTTATAATTTATTAAAATTATTAATTATTATTATGATATATTTAAAAATATTTTTATAATATAAAATTAATTATATAATAAAAATAAAATTATTCTTCTGTGTTCATAATTTTTTTCAACTCATGCTTTTCTATATAGGATTAATGTAGAAATAAATGTCTAAATTACACCTAAATTTAACTTTATGTGTCTAGAGAATTTTTAGTTAAAAATAGGTATATAACGTTTTTGCCGTTATACTTTTAAGTGACTATTATTAAAAAATGTTAAAGTGATAAGTGTTATCACTATATTTTTTTTATTTTTTAATTTTAAAAAATATTTTAGGAAAATGTCTCTCTCCCTCCTCCCAACCACTAATCTCCCCCGATCACTCTCCCTCCTCCTAGCCTTCAACCCCCGTCGCCCTCCCTCCTCCCATCCTCTCCCAACCCCTCTCCTTCATACTCCTCTCAGTCTCTCTCCTTCATCCCCTCCGTCCTCCCATCAAAGAAATTAAGGACGGTGACAATAACGATTTTGGTGCAGTCACAAACGGCAAAAACATGGATAAAGATTAAGTTTTTTTTATAATTTTAATGAATTTTAAAAAATAATATCTTTAAATCTTTTTAAAAATATAGTAGTGGCACATGCCATTTAACAGTTTTCTTAACGGTTGACATTTAAAAGTGTAACAAAAAAAAACGTTAGATATTTATTTTTAACGAAAAAACGTTATATATATGGTATGGATTATAGATATTATAGTGTGAAGTGTAAGCAAGGTAGTATATGTTCAAGGATTCTCAACTATTTGACATTAAATGTTCAAACATCCTTGCATACAAGGTACTCTAACTGTGACCTGAAAAAAAAATAACAATTCCTTAATCATAAAAATCACTTGGGTGCTTGAAGCATATCATTATTCGTATAAATAACAAATCTTGTCTTTGATAAGGTAATTGCAAAAATTAAGCACTTTGATCAACAATGTTTCTATTAAATGCTCAAAGAAAGAAAGCAAAAAATCAGTAATTACCTACAATAAAATCGTAGTCCCATCTTATTTATGTCCTTAGCAACTGATTTAACATCAGAAAAGAACAAAATTAGTAAATTCCCCACTGAAATGCTAATAATGCATGCCCAAATTGACTACAATTTCATTATTCCAGTATACCCAAGTGACTAATTTTATAATATCAATCACCATCCAATCCCCCAAAACATACAAAATTAATATACAATCCTCAAATATATGCTGAGATCCTAAACTGTCCAAGGACTCAAATTGAACTATGAAGAAAGTATAAAACCCTATACTATGCGTGAAACTTTCTTCTTTTCTTTACCATGTATTTCCCTGGAAAATCAAATCATTCCCATCTAGTTTCTTGGATCAGAAATCATCATTTTGATCAGGTAACAAAGTCTGGTAACAATTGCGCTGCAAACCTTCTCCTGTTTTGAATGTTGATGTTGTCAAATGCAGCAGCCGAGGAGTGTGGTGTGGAAGGGCCGATAGTCATTGACCCGAACTCATTGGGTTCACCAACGTCGAGCCTTCGTCCCATTTGCATGGTTTGGTTCGGGAGAAAACTCTGATGGGTCCTTGATAAAGACAGATTTTCACAGTGGGGAAGTCCCAAAGTGAGTGAAACACCATTGCCTGAAAACCTGGGAGGGAACTGTTCTGCATCGAACCTTCCTATTTCTTCAATGGGGTATTGTCCGAAACCTCCCATGAAATCTGTGTTGTTTCCCATAAATGTGTACCTATCTTTGCCAAACTTCATGGTGACCTCATTGTTGGCCTCGGTTGTTTGCTTGAAATCCATTGGCGGCTGCAATATTTCAGTGGTTCTTGGCTTTTTCGGACTTCCTTGAGTGATCCCTTCCAGTTCGGATGATACCATGAAGGAGAATCCGGACTGGTTGCCAATGTTTCCGGCAAGGGGAGATGTTGATGCCATGGAAATTGACATTGAGGAACCATTCTGGTTCGAGATATTGTCCTGTTTGGAACTGAAACTTTTTGCCATATTGTCTGCACTACTTTTTTCTGGTGCAGTGGATTTGGATGTTGAATCTTCATTGTTATTGCTTTTGCGTGATTTCTCCTCTGATCCATTTTGTTCTTGTTCCTTGATTTCCTCCAAATACATCTCTTCCACCATTGGCTTCCATAGCCGAACTCGAGCATTTATGAACCAATTAGACACCTGGATTATTACAAAAGAACATCCTATGATTATACTTTTCACAGTTATGAAATTCATGATTAGGCCGAATTTAACGAGCACCTGGCTTCTAGTAAGCCCTGCTTGTTTTGCAAGCATGATCTTGTCTGAATCCTTAGGGTACCTGCAATGCAAATAGAGAAATCATAATATTCAATAACTGTTGGAAAGTAACAAGGGAAGTGACCTTCAAGTTTAACTTACGGATGGAGGAAGTGTTCGAATAGCCAAGCTCGAAGAACCGAGACTGATCGTTCAGGTAGTCCTCGTTGGGGTCTCCAAGCATTGTGCTGGACCATTCCCAACTGCTGAAGTGCTCGTTGTTGGCGAAGATGGTGATCGACAAACTTAAGTCTTGACGACCCTTCAATTTTGCCTCCTAGGCAATTTTCTTCACCTAAGCTCTTGTGTGCAGCGCGGATTTGATCAGTGATTGCATCTTTCAAGCACCGGAATTGTTTTGAGATGGTCTTCAATGCAAGAGATGTGTATGTTTTAGCAGAGCCGATCCCTGCTGCTTGCTCAAATGATGAAGTTACAACCTGCATCTGGTGATGATATTGTCTGTACCTTTGATCCACCTGCAAAAACAAAATTCTTGATCAAACAAGATTGAAATCCTATCTTAATAACTATATTTTATTGCTTTAATAACAAAATTTTCCCAAGGACACAAGCATATTTCTCATACACTTTCATTTTCAAGTTGGTTTCAAAAATCAAACCTTATATATGATACTATCTATAATTTTCATACCTCGTCAAGCATGCTAATTAGCTTCGCTTTCTTCATCTGAATTTCCTGTCTCTCTGCCGTAGTCAGCTCGGCTCCGTGCTTAGCATCTGCCTCTCCGCCACCAGAGCCATCTGCTTCCGCCACAGACGATTCTCCGATAGCCTTACTGCTATTGCTATTGTCTCCACTACTCTCTTTAGCCGAATCTTTCTTGGCAATCTCGGTATTGTTAACAGTAACAATCTCATCGAGAAGCTCTTGAGCAGCCTTCAAGAATTTAGAGCTCAACAGCACACTTTGTACACCAGAAACTCCATTAGTCACCCCTGAACCAGACCCACCCGAAACCCTCATGTCCTCACCCGAAGCCGCTTGAGCTTGTGATCCATAACCAGGATGTTTTTGGGAAGAGAGGCTCAAGGAGAGCCCCTGCTGTGAGCGTGGGGTTTCACGCGCTGCTCCGGAAGTGTCAATGGGGTTGTACAGGTTGTAATGGATGCGCTGAGCGATTCCATGCAATGGGAAGATTTCGTGGTAACCAGGGTCTTGGCTGGCGGTGGAAGTAGACGCGGGGAGGGGGATGCCGACGAATTGTTGGGTGTGGGGAGGTGGCGCGTGAGGGAAAACGAGGTTGTTCGGCAGCGGCGGAGGGGTGTTGGAGTACTGAACATAGGCAGGGTTCATAAGTACGAGGGTTTGGAGTCCGTCAGCCGCTTGGATTTCAGGGTTCCCATGAAAGTACGTCGCCATCGGATGTTGTTCTGTGTTTTGCAACAAAATCTAACGTTATTTTCTGTGCTTTCACGTCACTGAAAAAGAAAAACAAAGAATAAAATTTCAAAAAAAAAAACTAAAATCCATATATAATATCAACCAAAATCTTATTACTTAACATGTATCAAGAGAGATTGAAGCAACCCATTTGAGAAATGAATTGAAGCAAAAACAGGGACAAACTAAGTATAGATATTTATGGTATATATTGGGATGATTAAGTGGATCCTGAAAAACAAAAGGAAAAAAGATTGATGATGACCCCACTAATTAAACAATTTCAAACACAAGTAATTGCGATTTGCTGTTGGTTTGAAAAACAAGACACGTGTCCTTGTCGTTGTGTGTTTCTAGTACTTGTTCATATGATCTAGAACTTGAAGTCGACATGAGAATTGCAGAGAAAGAGGAGAAGAAGACGAAGGGTGTAAAGGGAGTTCAAGGAAGAAAGTTATGGTGTTTATTTAGAATTTCGAGTGGGAGGGAAAAAGAAGAAACAAGTGATTATAAATTAATAATATTTGGTACCTGGTGTGATGTTAATCGGAGTGTGCACGTGCTTCATGATCTTCTTCACTGCAAAAGAGTTAAAGAAAAACAAGGATTTTTTAGCTTACAAAACAAAATATTCAAAATCTGAGAAAGAGAAAGCTAATGAACTCCAGCTAGAAACACCATAATTTGTAGGAAGACAGACTCTGAATCTATGGAATTTATGAGCTTCACAATAGACTGAGAGATGAAATTTCTTTCTGCAACTTCTCCACTGAAATGGCAAAAAGGAAGAGAAATTTGATACCCTTCTTCATTCATTTCATTTCATTTTCATTATCCACTTATTTATGCCAATTTTTCTTCAACTTAAAAAGAAATAGTTCCCAATTTGGAGTAGTAAGCTAAATTGAATTGTTAATTTTTAATAATTAGAGTTATTATAAAATAATATTTATTCATAATATTTCTTAATTATTATAAATATAGTTGAAGTCATAAGGGATTTTCATATTCTTACATACATTTATAAAGACATGTATGTGTTACATACATAGACTGGATTAAATATTTATCTCCTTCGACTTAATGTGTCACATAGGCGAAAGGCATACCTAATCAACTATATCTCCCACACAAGTAAAATTATTTAAATTTTAGATAGAATATTAATTTGACTGTAGTTTTCAGATAAAATATTAATTTGACCTCTGAAGTTTAGATAAAATATCAATTTAAATCCAACTAAAGTCATTGTTACTAACCCTCGCTCATCACCATTGTTGGTCTCCATCGATTTCCATCATCGATCATCTGCAATCTTATCATTAACCATCGTTAGACTCTAAAATTTTTAATTCACTTATTTTCCCTCAGAATACGAATATGGTGTTTATTCCATATAAAAAATCCTCAAAAACCTAGATTAGAAATTAGAACTCTTCAAAATCCTTTTTAAAAAATTATAATAATAAATTATAATTATATTTCTTTAAAATAAAGATATCAAAAATCTAAATATATATCATAATACATTTATATTATAATGATAATTATTTAACGTAAACATGTTATGATACAGATTTAGATTTTAGTTGTCTTTATTTTAAGGAAATATAATGATAAAATTATTATTATAATTTATTTTTAAATTTTTTAAGGGTTTTAAGTTTATGAAGTTCGAGATATTTTCCTATAAAACAAGCACCATATTCATGTTCAGGAAGTAAAAATGAATGAATTAAAAAAAATTATTCCTACTATCAATTATGACGATAGTCCACGATCATTAGTGATTGACAACGATGGTGAACAACGAATGATTTTGATCAATTTAGGATTCAAATTAATATTCTATCTATCATTTATGATTAAATTAGTATTATCCAAAATTTGGAAATCAAATTAAAATTTAAAAAAATTAGTAATGTATTACGTCGTCAAGTTAATCAAGACTATTGATTCAAACTAAAATAAAATATATAAAAAATAAAAATAATCTTTTAAAATTAATTATCAAAATAACATAGATCGAAAATAGAAGATATCACGTTTATAATTTATTCTTACACACACACATATATATATAGCAATATATGAATTTCCGATAGGCGGTGAAATTACCCAATATTACATTTGAACTTTTTATTTTTAAAATATGTCACCATCATTTTTATTTTTCAATATTACATTTCATTGTTTATTTTTATGTTTTTAAATTAAAAATTCAAGTATAGTAAAAATTCAACTTTACTGTGGCTGGAGTTGTGGCTGGGGTAACAGGTAGTAGGTGCAGGCGTAAGACTTGGACTTAAAAAAATCAGATAAAGAGAGAGATCGATTTGCAGTTAGACCAATTTCATTGTGCTTAAATTTTTAATTAAAAAACTAAAGATGAACTATGAAATCGGTATGTAATTATACCCTCTTCATTTTTACTGTAGTCAATACTATATATTATAAAAACCATAATATCATACTTTAAAAATAAAAAAAAATATAATATAATATCCTTCTCTTCATTTGTTTTCAGTAAAAAAACTGACAGAGAAAGATAATGTTTAGAAATAAAAATATAAAAATTGTGTGCAAACAACTGAACAACGATGAAACGTCCCCTTTCACGCCAAAACCTAATTGAGAAAAAAAAATTATTATTATTATTATTTAAAAGATGAATATTTCTTATGGTGATGAAGATAGAGGGTGGAGGGTCCTACTCCTCAGTTCAACATTAAATATATGTCTTTTTTTCATTATTTTGTAAGTTTTTTTTTATTTGTGTATGTGGTTGGATGCCAGAGTTTGAAGATAAAGCAATTAAACTTCTAAGGATCAAAGAACCAACCACCATAACACCTACTTTAATGCTTCAAAAGCTTTAAACACATACAAATTGAAACAAATATATTTAAAAATTTAAAATAGTTATATTAATTTAAGATTATTTTTAATTTAAATATTATTATGTTTAACTTAAAATTATATAATTTTAATATTTTCAATTACAATTGAAAAAATTATATTACATGGTTTAGAATTTATAATCGAAAAAGTTATATAATTTTTAATGATTTTAACTATAATCGAAAATGTCATGAATAAGTTAATATCTTAAATTTCAATCTAAAATATTATCGTATCAAATAAAAATTACGCTCTTGATAAAATTTTCAGTTATAATTAATCATTTTTAAATTTATATTAATAAATTCTATTTTAAATTTTCTTAAAATTTAAATTTAGATAGAAGTTACTTTGAGATGCATGTAAACCTACCAAAAAGTGGAAAGTATGATCTTTGAAACAAAACAAAAAACAGTGGGGCCTTCAATCAAATGCATGAGTGTGTGAATTTTAATAAATTGCTCCCAACTGTGTCTGGTCTACTTTATTCATTTATTATTTACTGAGAGTTAAATTGAAATATTAAAAGATGTTATGTATGTATTTAAGAGATATCGATGATAAAAAATAATTATTATCTTTTTTAGATTTTTGAGTTCAAACATTATAAATATTAGAAGTATATTTAATATTAAATATTTAAAAATTATTTCTAATCATATATTATTTTATGCTTACACTAGATTAATAAATAAAAAATATAATTATTGAATTTATATATCATATTAACCCAAATCTGAATCTAATTGAAATTGTAATAAAAAGTCGAAATCTATATTTTATAAAAGTATAATTATAAAATTAATTTTAATCTGAATATTATTTATTCTTAATCATTTAGAAGAATCAAAGTGGGTTTAATGGTTATATGTTGGATCTTTTTGTTAAAATTGTCAAGTTCATTCCACTATTCTCATATCTAACATTTATTTGATTTTTCTGACATATCAATAATTAATTAGAAGAAAATAAATTTACTCAAAAAAATAACATGTAAGAATGTTGATTCATACGCTGTTAAATATAAATATTCTTTAATAATAATAATTAAAATGAAGTTTTCTTTCGACGACTAAGGTACAAACTCTTATAGCTTCACTTATAATAATTTACTGAATAATTTTTTCATATATTTTTATATAACATATTTTTGACCACCCATATGTTAAATATAATTTTATTATTATAATATATATTTATCTACCCAATCAATTGTTTTTAGAAACTTGAACCAATAAAATGCCTCTTGAAAATATGAGAAAGTTGACCATAATTATAGGGTTTTTACAGAAAAGGGAATGAAATCAAATAGGGTAGAAAACCAGGTATTTTTTTTCTGGAAGAGTTTAAAATACAACTTATTAATGTAAGATTAAAAAATAATAGAAATCGATTGAAACTTTAAATATTATTAATAGCGTAATTTTTTAGATTGGGCATGGTAATAGTTTAGATTGAACCGAAAATTTTACGGTCTCTATAATATTTTTGGTTATAACCGAAATTATTATAAAATTATATACATTTTCAGTTATAAACCCTAAAGTCACTACAATATAATATTCTAGATTGTAATAAAAAAATTATAAATGTATATACTTTTTTAAGTTGAATATAATAATATTTTATTTTAAAAATTATTTTAAATTTACCTGAAATTAATTGTGGCCTATTTATTTTATTTGATTAGCCGGCCATAAAATAATATGAAGATATTGACCTTTGCTATCAACATCGGTAACAATTAAATTAGGAGCAGTGACAGGCTTTAGAGGTTTTGATGGTAATAGGACTAGTTTCTTCAACTACATTGACAAAATTTATGTACATATAAAGGGATTTGAATGAACTGTCATTCTCTTCGATCAAAATAGAAACCATCAGCAATTTTATACTATGTCTGCAATTACGTATTTAAAACATTTGGATTGCATTCAATATATGAATATCAACTATGAAAATAATTCGTGCACGTTACGTATTAATTACTCAATATTAAATAACAACTTAAATTCGATTCAATTAGAATAATTATGATTTTAAATAGTTTAGGGTACCATCATAAAAAAAAGAAGAAGACATTTTTATTTTTTGGTATGCAGCCTTCATGTTATGCTTCAAATCATAGTTCTCTTAGTTTAAGTGGATATTGACTCCATTTATACCTAATTAATTAAATGAAAAGTATGTGTGTAGATATTATTTTCCTCCTGATTTGTTCCCTTCGTGGAATCCATGGGACTGCAACACTCATGAATGCAAGTGTTATGCAACATATCAAACTTAATATATAATTTTCCTTTTTAATTGAATATTCATCTCTTGCTTTTCTTTTCTTTTCTTTTCTTTTATCTATTTGTTGTATATATTTTATTAATACGCCAGTAATGATGATCACAATGATGAGACGATTGTATGTAAAAAGTAGGTCAGAAATTCAAATGTTCTTATGTGGAGTATTTATTTATGGAAAATTATTTTATACATTAACGGTAAAAAATAGTCTATCAAGGGAATTTTAATGATGTCATATGACTTTTTTAAAGTTTAAAATTATAATTTTATGGTTTAGA